GAATAGCTGTAATATTGTGAAGGTCAAAGGATCGTAACGCAAGTTCAGTGAAAGATCCACGTCTGAAAAAGGTCCATTAGGAGAAAACCTAATCTTTTCTGTGACTGATCGCTTCTGTTTGTGACAAAAAGCACTTATTTGTCTTTATTTCAACGAATAATACGATTTAGATAGTACTAGCTACCTACTAACTGACAATTTTTTTTCGCGCGTTTAAAAAAACGTTCAAATAGAACAAATGCAATTTGAATTTAAAACGCGACGCTTTTTATCGTAGTGTTGCATTTTGAGTGCTAGACGAACGTAACAATAGTAATTTTAAAATATTTGTCGCTTGAGATTCGTCAAGGCGGAGTTTTAACGCAGCGTTAAAAAAGCGCCCGTGCCAATGGGGGCTGACATGGTATCCAAAGTTTTTATCCTTTTCTTCTAGGGATCTTGATAAAAAATTAATTAAGATAAAATTACTTAAAGTTAGATAATCAACTTAAGATATAAGGGGTGATCAGAAGTAGAGATAAATACATCACTAACACAGATAAAAAAAGAGAACAAAAACATCATAGAAATAAAAATGTTTATGACATGTCGCAGGTATAAAAGGACAACGGACAAAACTGTGTTTGACTAGGCTTTGTATGCGAGATTAACAACATTTTCGACAAAGGCTCGCTAGAGAACTAGAGGTTATTTTGTAAGTAGAATTTGCCGAGACAACACGAGGTCCCTTTCAAAGAGCTTTGTACAAAAATTAATTAAGGGGCAGTTGTTTGCAGTTCTATCTTAAATACTCATAATATTAATAAGTAAAATAAAGATGAAATATTCTATTATTAATTAGACGAATTCCGGGTAATCTTTAACTTTCGTACACAGAGATGTTTACTTACTTTAGACATAAACCCTAAGGGGCTGTGATACAATATTTTTTAAATTTAAAATTTCAAGTTTAAGTATTGAAACAACAGAGTTACAATAATGTCAAAATGTCATAAGTCGTTCTGAGAAAAAACATGTCTCGTGATCGGTACGGCAGGGCCACTACCACGCATCCATAATATTGATTGAATGGTGATAACATTAAAAAAACTAAGATTCGAAATTACAAGATAAGATAGAAGGTAGAGTAATCAAATATTGGCTAGAATAAAATTATGTTTGTTGAATTCTCCTAAGAGAACAGCGGGCGTCCAACTAAGAATCTTTATTAAACTCTTAGACTAATGTAAATATTATGCATCAGATAACTAAGTGAAGGAATAATTTAATTTCTCGAATATTTTCTTTTTTTATATTAAAGAAGAAGTTAACATAAAATATTCTATAGGTGGCGGTGCATTTGCACATTCCAAGTAAAGCCATTTACTCGTCTGTACACTGCAAATATTTGTAATTCTATTTAATATAAAAAGGGAAAGAAAAAACTTATTTTTTATACTATAATTCCAGGTTTAATTATGACTCTTCACGTATACTTTTAGGTAAATTACCCAATTACTTGGAAAATTAATTATATACCCCAATAAGAGGTGTAGCCGAAGGGGGGCTTATAGCGCAAGCAATAATTCTGCGTTGGACGTTTCGTTATTTCTCTGTTATCCTTACTCGAGTTCATTGTGTTATTAATTAATTTTGCTAACAAATTAAGGGATTGCTCACATTTTAATAGAAGGAAGCTGAATTGGTAATTAAAAACTATTCAAGTAGACAATATTTCATTAAGATTTTTTTTATTAAAAAAGCTTTCGCGATGAACACTAATTGTTATGTATTAAAATTTAATTTAATTTTTAACTAATCTTATAACATAAATAAATATCACGAATAAATATTTTTACTCTGTCTATCTGTAAACTAGTAATCTTATATGCAACATTCTTTATAAATAATCCACAGGCCCGAGTTAATTATTAAACAGGATTCAATTCGTTTAAAACGCCGAGAAATGTTTCGAACCAACTAGTTTCCTTCTTAATTATTACTAAGAAATGTAAGTGTATGTGCCTTACATTTTTAACCCGAATAACTATAGGTTTCTAATACCAAAATTCTCATTTTAAAATATATTATTATATTTTATACAATTTTTGGTGTCAGCACCCAACAGTAACTACTGGACAATCGTAGTCCCTAAGCGAAGATTTAGATTGTGTAAACTACACTAAGAAACTCCCTAAGCATATCTGAGCAGTATTTTTAAACTTAAATTTTAAAAGTGAAAAGCCATCATAAAAGCGAAACCTAAATCCCTTATCTTTTAAGTCAAAAGAACTTGAACATATGAGAATGAAGCCTTGTCATAGCATAAAGGGATGATCTGATAAGATATTAAATAATAAATTGAAAATGTAGTTACGTGGTTACATTTTTAATATTGAAAAGTGAAGCGAGATAGTATGGGATGAAAGCTGAGGTTGTCTCCGAGCCGAGGTAATGACTAAATGAAACAACGCGTTTCAGCGATACATCTTCTTTATATAGTCATTTCTAAAACATGAAAGCAATCTTATTAAATTATTCAAAATTTCGTGAGACATTATATAATACTAAACTGATATATAAACAAACATCCTGATGAAGGGACTCCGATGGGCTCGAAACTAGTCGGTGCCGCCACCGGACGTATATACGTGAGTGTTTAACCGTGTTTATATATCAGTTTAATAAAAGCAATCTTATTAATATTATAAACTAGCTTTTACCCGCGACTCCGTTTGCGCGGAATTAAAAAAAAACATTTAGTAAGCCGATTTCGCATTTATAATATTACTAATATTAATTTAATTCTCGTCTTCTTTCTACAATTGACCTAGATAAATTCTACATTAAAAGGCACTTTATAAATTGAATTTACCGCAAATACTAGTAATAAATACGTAGTAAGATGTTACTGGAGAGAAATATCTCGATTCGTTGCTTTAAAAAAGGAAACTTTAAAAGGCAAAGGAATCGTGAGGCTCGGTCACGTTCGAATAGATTTGATTACCACGACCACACTTTCTATCGACAATAGTCGAAAAAAATTCGATTGATAACAAATATATCCTAAAAACCCATGTCATTGGAAGCCTATTGCCTTTTCATAACCAATAATAAATATAGTGAATGTCGAATACACTTATTGTCCAATAAAATATCAGAAAATATTTTCACGTATTGTCAAGATTTCTACGGACATACTTAGCTGAGGTAAAAATATGTCATATTTTATTTTGGTAATATTTGAGGCACAAAATAGAGATACAAAATTGATGATCACTAGATCGTAAAATGACATAGGTAGTGTTAGGTAGAAAATCCGAAAATGTTGCATTGACCCAACACTAGTCTTACTAAAATATCGACGTTTATGTCCCCACACTATTCATTCTGACACTGAACTTTGTAACGAAAGCACGTGATTCGAGCGAAAGGATTCTAATTAATATTGTTTAAAAGTAGTGGTTTTGACACTATTTATATCAAAAATAGTAACATACAAAATTAGTTGGATAACAGATAACTCACGCCCGCATAAATAGGCCTCCACTACGGACCTCTATTTGACACGGTCCTGATACTCTCTCGTCTACTAAATTCATACATCTACGCATACATGCACGTAGATCATGCATGTAGATCTTTTATTAAGTTATTAAGTGAATTTGCATATCACAAAGACATATATTGTCTCTGTTCTTTAATATTTCGACTACGAAAATCTACAATTGCTTAATAAAATGTCTTATAAAATTAGAGATGCAATATAAAAATCGCTTTATTAGTAATCGGAACAAAATAATAGAGTCGGCGACGTTGGAACACAGATAAAATAGAGGTTATTATATAAAATAGATAATTCGGTAACACGAAAGGATTTTATGTATCACTAATTGACAGGACGAAGGGAGATGAGTTTTAAATACCTAAGGTTGATACTAGATAACACATGAGATAGTATAGTTGGATTGTTAATAGTTGATCGTTGATATGCGGGCGGACCAACTTTACGGTAACCGACTATAATATGTTTATTGACGTTTTATTAACGGTTGATACAAGAATTTGTTACGTTGCTTCTAGTTAAATTTAACTAAGCTAATAAAATAGGGTAGGGCACATTATTATCGATATATTTTCACTGATTTTTTAATTTTGCATACATTAAAAAAACAAGTCTTGTTTAGCGTAATTAATGGCCATTTAAGAGTTAAAAGAGTAATGCTGAATTAGTGCTGGCCAAATTACAATAAAACACTAGTTTTACGTTAAAAAACAGTAATCAAACTTTTAAAATTAGATATAAAACTAACGTTCTAAAAGACGTAAAAAACGTATTTTTTTATTGAAAATTGACATTCGACTAATTGATGGGGACGAATTAATTAGAAGTAATGATTTAAATTCGATATCGTACATTGTCATCTTTGATAATTAACAAAGCGAACTCGAAACGCTTGAAGCTTAATTAAATATAACCACATACATACACTCCGAACATATCGATTTTGTGCTATTTATAACTTAATATAAACGTTAATTAATTTATCTCAAAATGTATTCAAATTATAAAATGTTGTCTAAATTTTATCACTGATATGAATAAAGGAATAGCGAAAATTCAATAATTTTATGGAAAAAAACAGACTTTGGATTATTCAATATTTCTAAGTATTCCTGTTAAAACATGCAGCTAAAAAAAGTAAGTAAATTAATGATTTATTCAACTTAAAAATAAAAAATAATGACTATATTTCTAAGTTTTATTTAAAAATCATCTTGATACCTATTATTTTGTTAATAAGTTATTAACAAAGTAAGATTGAATAATAGCCGTATTTTATAATATAGTGACAGTATCTCCGGGCACAGTATCAGCTCACTCAGGCCTTATCTAATTAATTACTCGTGTGTAGATGGGACTCATTAATTCCCCTCAATAAATCTCTCCGATATCAGAATAAGGGTCGTCAAAAAATTATCATATAAATTGCCAACATTATAACAAAGTTGTCACTTACCTAAAACTACCAAAATGAAACACAAACTAATATACAAGATCATCAGGAATCTTTGGCAACTAATAAACTAATATTATCACAAACAAGCACGGCAATCATCTATGCATTTGCCGATAAATTATATCACAGTATACATCACTAACTACACAATGTCGTTCGCACTGCGATCCCATCAGGCCATCACTCTTATTACCAGCACATTATTTTTTTTTAAACCGAGTGCATTCGAACCGTAACTTTTTTCACTGTATCCCAACAAGTTAAAGTTTCGGTCATCGTACGCGCACGACGCCCGAACTGTCGTTTATACACTGTCCCATCACTATGAGATGTACGATCCAACTTTGCTGTTCGTTAGTCACTTCGATAACTGTTTTTTACGAATTGTACGATCGTTGCGCGACGCCGAGCGACACAGGTCCGACCTCGACGATGGTCGGGACGCGACTGGCGTGAAGTTGTCCAGGATTGGTGTAGAATGAAGAATGCGCGGCGCATGGTTGCCTCACCGGCCGCGTTTGGACGCCACTCCGGCTAAAATTAAGAGTCGTCGATTTGCTATTATTTGTAAGCGACACCGCGTAGTTTGCGCTGAGTCGGGTAATATAACCAGATAGACGGTCGTGCATTGTCAGTAACGTCGCCCTCGGTCTTGGCCGCTTTTTCGCTTCGACAAAGATAGGTAGCCCAACTATACGAATTGTTCCCTTTCGGAACATAATCATATTGCGTCTCTTTCTTACATGCATTATAAACACCAGGTAAAATGGGTCCTGTTTATGCATGGAGAAGCATTTCGAAATTATTATTATACCTTGTATACACATCAGCATTCGGAATTCAGAAATACATTCAATTTAACGCCATTAATTGCAATTCAAATAGACAAAACCGCACGTGTAAATCGAAAAAACGGCGTATGCGGAATTTTGAATCTGCGTTTTGAATGGTCGGCAAATTGCTTAATTCACATCCGAATGCAAAACGAATTTCCAGTGATTACCGTCTCGTTTTGTTGGATTTAATTGTTGCGTGCGGTATCGATAATACAACACTAGTGATGTACAAGTAACACAGCACTAGTACTGAACAGTTAGTTTTAAAACACACTTAAAATCATGTTGAAAGTAGCTATTTTACTTTTTTAAAGTCACCTGAACGGACACAGTATTGACCATTGTCTATAAAAAACCTATGTAGAAGTATTGAGATCGTAGTTGTTTTATAGTCAGAGGGATATTTATGAATAGAGAAAACTATTTAATTTGGCCATATCTTACTAATATTATAAATGCGAATGTTTGGATGAATGTATCTTCAGAATGAGCCTCGATGAAATTTGCGATAGATGTACAGCATAGTCTAGGCGAACACATAGACTACTAAATTTTTTAAATCCGCGCGGGCGGTGTATGAGGCAACAGTTAGTCTATGAACAAAAGATCTGATGGTAGTTATTTTTATGTTAATCATTAACGGAAAAAATAAACCGAAACCGCATTCAGTCCATAATATGTTAGTAAAAAAACAAGAAAGTTTATAATAATTTCATACAACTGCCACACTCAACCGCTAACCATCCCACCCTAAGTAGAAAAAACCACCCAAATCCATCCTCGAGTTACCAAAAACTTTGAATAAAAAACCTTAGTTTAGACAACTATTATGAGGGTGACCGAATTTTTTGTTCAGCAAATGTTCCTTTATAAACAATTATTTAAAAATGAAGTTTATTTGTTTACTGTTAAAGTTCATTTTCGTATAATATTGATGGTCGTACAAGGACGGAATATGGTCAACTTGTAAACGATACTGTTGACACAAATCGTTCGGTTACGATGGTAGTTACGATAAATTCTCCCTTTTAACCCATTACGATATTCTCAGATACCTGCTAAGATATATAAAGCTACAACCATCAGTGTTTAAACAAGGATATGATGCTTCGGTTTTAGTAAGTAGGTTCCCATTTATCAAAAATTTTAGTGTTCGTTTAGCAACGCAATTGCAATTACAGTCTATGGGTAGTTGTCTATATCGAATCCATTAGGCCACTCAAATACTTGGGTACAGCAGTTACAGCAACATAACTCACGCCCTTAACCTAAAGAGGTAGACAGAGACAACGTACCTACATTCGGCTCGGTTCTGATACACCACTCTCGCTTCTTCAACAGTCTAGCTTAAAATTAGACATCAAAAGTTTGTCAAGTGATTTTCATATAATTATGTTACTCTTTAACTTAAATTACTAACATACCTAAGGGCTAGTATGTCTTAACATTAAGTTAAATACTAGACTAGATGAAACACTGAATTACTACATTCATAATTTCTCATATCAACAATTAAATTACGTTTTCATAAAACTTTTATAAAATTAATACCAAATTGCGTTAAACATCTCAATTCTATTAAGAAAGCACCATAATTTACATAATAATTTAAATTTAAAAGTTGCGAAACTGTACAACAGATGGCGTTAGTGGTACATTGGCAAAAATTCGCTAACTACTAAATTATGAATTGTGTGTCTTTTTGGTCTTCTTATAGGTGTTTAATATCTTAAAATAATAGTAGCTTCTTTTAATTGTTTCCTTTTTTAATATATCGAACTAATTTAAACTTGTCTTACAATTTAAATCATAGGTTTAAATAGTTTTTAATTTATAAAATAGATTTATAAAGATAAAAAATTGTATACGATAAAGTCGCCTACCGTATCGAAATATAATTTGCCACGTTATATATATTTCTCACCACAAATATTCAATTAGTACGAACGTCGAAGGTTCAGAGTTGCTACCTGCCAATGTTAAACTTTTTGTGTCGACCGGGGTTTTGTGAACAAAAAAAACTCAGCATAGCTGTATTCTGGGCATTTTTATTTTTGTATAGTTTTGTTCGATTCGCTGTTTTGTAGGCGCCGCATAGGAACGTTGGCAGAAAATTGTTTCTATTGAAGAATTCATTGACAACGACCCAACGTAATCGTAATACTATTTGATATGTTTATTTATTATCTTTGAGAAAGTTTGAAAGATTTAGGACAAAGGCGATGTAATACTGCCGGAAAAAAAAACATTTTTTTGGTTATCAATATTATATGGCTGTTTCTCATCTCGTTATTATTTTACTTCGATCCGATGACATTCTGTTAGTTTTAGAGACCTAAATAGAAGTCCATTTAGGTCTCTAAAAACCAATGATTTCTAAAAATGGACTGGCTATAAAATATAGCATTTTGTGCCTTTTTGATTATCGTCATTTTGGGGCTGATGGTAGCGGTTTGAATGGAATAGATAGAATTACCTGTCCTGTAACACCAACAAGTCGGAACTAAGCATACGTTATCATTTCCTAGCAATAGCCTATCTGTTTATAATTTTTTGGAAATCAGAGTTAAAACTCACTAAAACTATACATCACGCGTAACCCATGAGTGATGTTGACATTATTTCGTAATACAAAAGCGAGAGTTTGGAATGAGAACAGATACAAATCTAGACCATGAACTGCAAGTGTAACCAAACATTGGCCCAATTACTGTCCAAAAACCTTATATACAGCTTCATAAATACGACTCTGTCGAGAAATTTTGTACGACTTAAAATGTATGTTTGTCCCTATAACCGTGGGTTTCTGAAACCAAAAACTAAATTTATAACATATTGTTATCTCTGCTTTGTGAAAGAGATTTCAGTTTCAGAAACCAACGGTTAATGACTATCAGTACAACATTATAGGTTTAATATGATTTTTTTTTACAACATAAGGTGGCAAACGAGCGAGAGGCCACCTGAAATCGCTGAAATAGCGAAGTGAACGTTGCCTATACACATACGCAATTGCATCTGCGGTGCCTACCTTTAATCTCTCATCCGGAAAGTCCACTTCCACATCTCTCTTACTTTATAAGAAAAAGGGTGGGAAGGAAGAGAGGACTAAATTAGGCCTCCGGGATACACACTCATCAGACGAAAGGCGGAATAGCTTCCACTTCACTACTGTCTTCTGTGTGGTCGTGGTATTTCACCGGGCGAGCCGGGACAATTCGTGCGAATATGTCAAAGTGGGCTCTACCACTGTTAAAAGTAGTATATGAGAAACTCTACCTACTTAAGAAATAGGAAACACACTCCAGGTATTTAAATAAAACCTCCTTTTCATAAATAAACAGTTATCAAATTACTCTACCATTGTTAGGTACGTGTGAAAACTTACTGCACACATTGTCTGGTATGTTTAGGCGATAGTTTCAGAACCCCATTAGAACCCTTGTTACAAGGGTGTACATTCCTGTGATGTATTTGTTTCGGCCGTAGGTGATAAATATAGTAGCGAAGTGAAACGCATACCTTTGGAATGTGCTGGAAGTTAGTGACAGTGTTGTGGCTTCAAGTGACAGGTTCGTGTTAATTGTAGACATAGAGTTGTATACTACGCTTTTAAAATGAAAAAAAAAAATTAAAGATGATATTTTTTTTTTGTGACTGATTGCCACTGTTTGCCTTGAGGAGGCATTTACAGCTTCACCGGGCTTGAGGTGGCCGAGCGCAGATGGCACTTAGCCTAAACCTCTACTGAACCTCAAGATGAAAAGAGGATTGTTAACTTTTATAGTTCAAACTGACATTTGGCGAATAATGAACAGACAGTCTCCCAAACCTAATAGAGCAATTGGCTGTTAGTGTTTTGTCCCAAACAATCTTCTAAATGTGATGAATTTCCACCAGAGTTTTATATGTATTTATCTTTCGATGGTGGAAACTTGACTATACACATATTATTTAGAGGAAAGATTTCATAGTTTCTTTGTTAGTTTGAATAGAATAGGCTCCGAAACTACTGCCAATTTGAAAAATTCCTACACTATTTGAGAGCTATACTATCCGGGTTACATTAATTACAGCTTACATTTATTACTTGAATTTTATTTCTCTCTGAAGTCTCGGGCAAATGCTAGTCAAAAAAATATGCGTTTATTTGACTCGCTTGAGTGCGGTCAAATTATTATTTTATTTTTTGTCTAATAGCTTTCTTTCATTAAATAATCATACTAATATTATAAATGCGAATATGTAGATGGATGGTTGTTTGTTTGAAGGAATCTCTAGAACAGTTGAACAGAACTCTATAAAATTTGGCATACATATAGAACATAGTCTGGAAGAACACATAGGCTACTTATTAAGTTTCTTTTTAATTTCAGGCGGACAGAGTTGCGGACGACAGCTAGTACTATATAAACATATATAAAAGATCTTATATTCGCAACGTCGTTGTACCGAGCACTTCCTGCGCTGAATAAATAAGTCGAGAGATTTGCATATGGCCTGATGAAAATTCATTATTCATTTAGGGCCTCATTAGCTCGCCGCAATAAGGACCCGGTCGAATGCTCCCGACCAATTTAGACCTCTCCGTTCGAATATCATTTGTAATTAACACG